TATATATATATATAGCAATTAGCAAAGCAATTACCTTCCGTCTCAGTGACCCCCCCCCCAGGTGATGAGCGGCTATGTGGGCGGAAGTGGGTCCCGATTGGGATAGAGAAATTTCTCTTAACTTTTCCAGAAAACGGTACTCAATGAATATGTTCCAGAATAAAATTCCATAATGCGGTTAAGTAGGCAACCTCCATGCTCAGCCTTTTCATTCTTAGCCTTCATAGAAGTAAAGTAGGGATCTCTGTGTTGCCATGCTTGTCTCGTCATTTAATGGGAACTTCTCCGAAAAATATGGCAATTAAAAAACTGTATCTACGGTTCGTTAAATGTGTTTCTGAGTGTTCGATATCAAAGCCTTCAAAAATTATATGAACTTTTTGTAAATAAGGCTGCTTCGATGAAATGTCAGGGGCCGGTCAGTAATTGTACAATAATTTTGAATGAAAGCGATTGAATCCAAATGAACTGTGATCTTCAGACGGAATACTTCATCACGCTCATCTGTACACGCGAGAAATGCCAGAAGTTCCATATGTGAAAACGTACCACGGTGGTCGACGATCATCGACACCAGTTGATCCAAATGATGAATATGGGTGAGCACGTTTGCAAACTTTTCATCACCATCTCACAAAGTTCACAGACAGAATTCGAAAGGATACAGCTCGTGAGCATCGCATGAAAGGTAGAGGACTAAAACTCCGAAGCCTCAGTAAATCCCGCTTTGCGCGCCCGCTTTTAGGGGGAAGGTATTGTAGTAGCAAGTGGCGCACTATCCCACACGTACGCTAGGGATTCGAATCTCGGATCGATATCCGCCTGGGAAGACCAAGCCATCTATCCCTCCCGGGATCTCTCGTCTGGGAGGATAAAAGCCCTGACTTGTACATTGGCTGGCCACCGGCCACGGCTGGATTAACAGCCATTTCTGTCAAGTCAAATGTTTTTATTCCCCAGCGAGTCTGGNTCACCATCTCACAAAGTTCACAGACAGAATTCGAAAGGATACAGCTCGTGAGCATCGCATGAAAGGTAGGGGACTAAAACTCCGATGCCTCAGTAAATCCCGCTTTTGATTTGCGCGCCCGCTTTTAGGGCGAAGGTGTTGTAGTAGCAAGTAACGCACTATCGTACGGTTAGGGATTCGAATCTCGGATCGATATCCGCCTGGGCCGACCAAGCCTTCTATCCTCCCGGGATCTCTCGTCTGGGAGGATAAAAGCCCTGACTTGTACATTGGCTGGCGACCGGCCACGGCTGGATTAACAGCCATTTCTGTCAAGTCAAATGTTTTTATTCCCCAGCGAGCCTGGTACAGTTTTGCGCTCGCAGGGGATAGAAGGCTCAGTCGGCTCGGGCAGCTACCGAGCCAGGATGCGGACCATGCGGATAACAGTGCGACGATAGAAATGGGACGTAATTTCATGAACGTTTGGCCGAACCAGTAAATGCAGTTGGCTTTGAGTATATAGCTCTAGTCTAAGTTATACATAGTCTCTATGGCTTTCAGAAAATTACGCTATCGTTCTACTAATAAATCGAATTTACTTGCTTCAAAATGTGCGATGCTTTTTTCTTTTATTTACCCTCATTTTTACAGAAAAGCGAAATGGGTGTTGGCATTGTTCCTCACGTCGGCTATACTTTTCTGCCAGATTGCTGTCATTTCTGGTTTCGAAACAGTGAGTTATAACTTATCAAACCACTTGACCCCCGAAAGACTGCATCATCGTTTAGGTTTCGTCATCAGTCCTCCTGTCACTGCTTTTCGTGATGGTTTTGATCTCAGTAGTTCTAGGACTGCGCCTAACCACTAATGACTACTTACATAGGTTTATTTTCCATTTTTTCCTATCTTTTAACGATGACGAGTGAATTTACTGCAGGAGGCAAGGGACAGTGCCAATGTTTCCTTATTTGACGTACATCACTTTGTTCGCACTCATTTTTGCCTTGGCGTCGACCAAATTCTTCACAATAGCGCTATATGCAATATGGCTATTTATCGGTAAGTGATGATTGGTAGTAGTCTTAATAACTCGCCAAGTTACAAGCGGAGCCCAGCGGCATTGCGCTGGATTAAATGGAAAATATAGTGCAACAGCGCTGAGCAGTTTCCTACTAGTGTGCGCCACTCTTTCCTATTCATAACACTATTTTATTTGAACAGTCCACCTTGTACGAATACGATTCAAACTGAGATGAATTAGAGACTTTTTCTCCTGAAACAATATGTTGAAGAATGACTGTCCCGTAAGGGGACCGGAAGTTCAGGTGGCTTGATCGAGAACAGATCTACGAGTGTTGCGTGTGCTGCTTATATGCTATTGTAAAGACATGATTTTCCTTCGGAAGTTTCGACTGAGCAGCTTATTTTTAAATACATACATAAAAACATTTTACGAGCACGTTTACTATCAACTAACCGGCCTTCTGAGCACTTATTCCAGTTGAGGAAGGTTTCATTCGCCGTATCCACTAGATGCATTCTTTTCTCAACATCGTATAGGTCAGAGTTGGCTTGAAAGAGGACTAACCGAGCCGTAAAACCGAAGCGTCGGAGTTCACGCATCACATTAAAACTGAGTCTGTTGTCGTCTCGCCCAAGAAGGTTCAAAGCGGTGAAGGTTGCCCTAGTCACTGAGAGTCTTACCTCATCGCTGTGACCCAATCCTCTTAGCTGTAATTCTCATATCTATCAAAACCCTCATCGGTTTGGCAACTGTGAATTATCTAGCTGGCCCTGATAGTGAGAATCACTATTGGAAGTGCTTAGTTGAAATAACTCTAAAGAACACTAAAAATCGGGAAGAATTTGTAAAAGTATTCAATTCAAAGAGTTTTAGGTATGGTGCTGTATTTCATGTATGGTTATTGGAATAGTAGTGAACGTCACAACAACATTTCCGCCAACTGCAATGACGAGGATAGCGAGATGTATCGTGCCATTATTGGAAACGACTACGCGCTTCAGTATGAGTAGCAGTTCTCAGCTAGGCACTCAATTACTACTACCGGTATACGAAGAGGACCAGAGGGCCACGCCACAAGCCTCAAGGCAAGCTTCACCGATGCACAGAAGATTTTTGTTTTGTTTGTTTTATGTGAACTTATTCTACTTAATATTGTTTTAATCGATCTCATTTTAGCACTTGTACTGTGAGTTTCGTGCTTGGCTAATTATAATAGACAATTTGAGCAAAAGTTACTGAACATTGTTTCCTTGCTTCTGTCCACACACTTGTATATTTATATTTTACCATGACACTGGCGATGTAAAGTAAAGATCATATGAAAAGTTGATGCTTCTGCCCTCATAAAAAGTCTTTCGACTCGCACTCAAAATAGTTTGAAGAGGTGGTTGTGAGCACAGTCGTGCAACTATTCGGTGAAGCTACTTCATGGCCGACTCACTGCTTCTGAATTCGCAGACAATAGTAGAACAGTGCAATCGATAACAGTGTATGCAACGAGTATTTCAGAAAGAACCAATATACAGTGGTGAGTGAAGTGTTGAGTAAACAACCAGAGGGAATGGAAACGGTCCAATCCACTTTCTCTGGCGCTGTAGGGTGACTTAGGATTGTCTCAAAAGGAATTTGTGTGCAAAAATTGGGACTCGGGGGGACTCGTACCCATACTTGTGCTTTCTGCTTTTCTTATTTCTTACACTACCGGAACCCCACTTGCCCTCGCTTTCTTAATAGCTTATGTATATTCACATGATGATATGTATTTGTTTTGGCCTAGTGTTTTGTTGACTGCTGCTACCGCAGTACGCGATACAAAAGCCCCTTCCTGGTTCACTCTCCCAGTTCCCTAGACAGTTGGCGAGCTATGAAGTGCTGAAAAGCTGTGGCATGAAAACCACTGAGGCATGCGGGTCTAATTGTAAGTAGTGTAAGGGATAAAGAGCACGGTGCCCAGAAAGCACAAGTACGGGCGTGAGTTCCGTATGAGGCTGAAGTTTTGCTCCCAAATCGCCAACCCTGTGGGACTTTCATGTCGCGTACTGCGGCGATAACACAGCATTTAAAAAACATTAAGTCGAATCGGCAAACTATTTCTCTCGTTTTCAAACCTTCAGATAACGGGTTCAGCTTTTAACTTTTGAGTAAATCGCGCAAACTAGTCAGCTTTTTTATGTATTCGTTTCGGAAATTAAGCAACCTGTTTTTGAGCGTAGACCCGTACTGTACTGACGATATATAGACGATTGCTTTATTGTGTGCCTCACTCAGATGAACACCTTTTTTTGGATTGCACAATGAACACTTAGAACTTATGAAGCTTATTCGGGACAAACTGACAAACAGTTGACTCGCTTTTCTCAAAGTACAGGTTCGATTAACTACGGGAATTTTCGGAACTAAATGGTAACGCCAGCCTACCACTAAAAAAATAGAGACGAAGGATGGCGACAGAGAATCTTCACGAGGATGAGGAAACAAAAGTTCTATTTCGAGACCTATTCATATCAGACGAATTAAATGCGACCGTACGGTCATGTGTGAGAAAGGCAGGCTTCCAAGACATAAACATTCGAATCATAAACAACGGCTGGTCCAAAATCTCCTGTATGACCGTCTGCGCAAACCGACTTCGTGCGTCATATGTCCATGTTACAAGGAAGGGGACTACATGATGGCCGGAGTTGTATATTCAATATTGTGCTTTCAGTGCAAAGAGGGGTATAACGAGGGAACGGGCAAACCCCTTTGCATAAGGATGAAGGATCACCTGAATGGCATGCAAAAGCCAAAGATGGCTTCTCCCATATGAGATCATAGGGTACGATGTCATGGGAACACGAGGTTCGAGGCGGCTGCCACAAGATTATAGCGTGAAACTGATATTGCGGCACGACAGCTTTCTGGATCATGACTAAGACTCCTAAAATTAACAGAAAGCAAGAGAGTGTGGCCGCTACCATAGAGCTGACGTTCTTTGCAGCACTATCCGGCTTTTTTGCTGCACTGTCGATTCCCCGGGGGGCGAGATCAGAGACTTATGCAAGTTAATGGGGTGATAAGGAGGGGATCAGTCCCGCTCTCTGCCTCGAATAGCTCCTGTGAAGGCTTGATCTAAATGGCCAGCCCTTTAACGGCCTCTGAAGCACCCTATTAAAACCACAATTCTCCCAGCTCGGGCCAATCGGTGAGCCGCACAGGTCGACTTAGGCTTACTTATCCACTTCTGACTTCGTGGTAGCAAGCCACGCTCCCTCCCCACGCAGCCTTCGAACTACATGTGAAAGTTGAATTAGTGCTCGATCGAATGATTTCTTGATGGCTTTTGACTTTCGTGGCTCCGAAAAACAAAACGAATGAAGTGTTGCTAAAAGTTCAATACACTGAATGCTTGTTCAAGACCTTCACGCTTTATACCCCGACATTTGATCACGATCTTTCTTTTTTTCTCAGAGAAGTGGTTTTTGAACAACTATGAATGGGCAAAAGCACAGACGTGCAGAATGAATTTATTAAGAACACGACAGTAGAGGAAGCAGGGAAGCATTTAGTAGAATTAGGGTGCTACTCTGATGCTGGAAACAGGTTCTCTGCCAGTGGACAACTATAGTTGATTGCGCCTCTTTCCAAATTGTAATATGCAGTTCCAGGAATTTGGAAAACATATAGTGCTTCTTGTGATTCTTTGTAGAAAAAGCATTCATGCTGAAAACTATGATTCAGCCTTGTCACTCGTAAAGTTAAAATGAACAAAGCACTGACACTTACTCTTTCTGAGATAGAGGGTAAAGAATGCAAACTGTACACTACGTTGTAACGTCATGGTACAATGGCTTCACCCCAGAACTATGCTATAATTGAGTTTACACCTATCGAACAGATGCTAAAGCTGATTTCCGTGCATCCACAGCAAATTCAGAACTGCGTTTCGCCCCCGGACGCGGTCATTTGAGAGGTTTTTGGGTGCCACTCGGAGGGATATCGATAAAATGGGGGGGGGGGGGGTGGTTGAGGAGTCCAATTACCTCTCATTATGTTTCCTCATTTTTAGCATGGGAATTTCATTCTGAGAGCCGTCATATTTACCTCCGCCACGAAGCTTTTGCAAGTTTTAGGTTGAGACATGCTTGCTGTCGATGGTTTAGTACAAGAGGTTCTAAAGCAGAACGAGGAATTTCCTTTTCATCCCTCGAACAGAAGGTGGATTTGGGACCAATTCCAACGTGCCAAACCAGTCGGTGTTCAACTGAGAAAACGCGTATTCTTGAAAAAACCCATTAAGAAAAGTGCATGTGAAATTACGCAGCTAATCACCATTAAATGCCAACATGATGCAATATTCTCCTAATCCGACGCTGAATAGCGGCGTACCAGTTGACAAGCGCTCAATTTCTACCCTGCATAATTGAGGGCACTTGCCTCTTCTCCTGCTTTGTTCGAGACGGAAACTTGAACGCACGCCGGGATTTCCTCGATGCACATCTTCAAACAGGTGCCAGTACTATTTGAAATCTCTGACGTAATAACAGAAAGGTACGAATAAAATGATCCTTCATAGGGAGGTGCCAGTGTGAATGTGCAAGAGCGCATCTGATGCACCTGAAATCGAATCAATTCCGAGATATTTTCACTGCGTCTTGTGACATTGAAAACGATTTGATTGAATCACGACTTTCGATTGTGGACCTAATTGAGAAAATGGCGTATGGTATTATAATTCTCGCTGCTGATAAAAATTTTTTGTCGAGATCAAAAGCATCTTAAGGTATAGAACGATCGGGTTACAAATATTCTTCGATCGCTTAGAGCCCTTAAATCGACGTAGGATCAGCGCTTGGAATTATAATAATAAGAAAGGGACGGAGATAGGTATGGTGATCAACAAGAATTAGGGAACTAGGCTCAGAAAAAACTGATAGGGGAAGTTGGAACGGAAAGTTATTTGAAACTCTGCTTTTTTGAATTTCACAGCACCGGCCTCTCTCTCCTGTTTCCCATGTAAGTAAGGTGTATCGAGGTAATATCCACTAGGACACCACTCAAGGCCCACTCTTCCTCTCCCCTCCCTGCTGGAGCTCAACATGACGATCCAGTCGCGTTGAATCCCGTGTTCCTTAATAGCCACTGAACCGATAGCATTGTGCCTGCTTTAGAAAAACTTTCACACCACTTGAAGCGCTCACTTGTCTTTCTAGATAACGGGATAACTGAGCTTCTTCCTAGACTTCACGTGCCACCATAAACCAGAACTTTTTTGTCTGTCACTATTATCATCATTTGTCACTATTATATCATTTGTCACTGTCAACATTCATCTATCCGTTCATGCCCTCCTTGAGCGAGGAGCGAGCACCAATAATGTCTCCACTCGTTTCTGTCGGAAGCCAGAGTGGTCAAGCGAATCATCCTCACTCGAGGAACCCGAACCATCGCATTCTTTCGTTAAGGCCTTTGTGAAAAAGTTGGACCATCGACTAGCTGCTGTCCTTGCTTCGTTTGACATCTCGAGAGGTTCATTCAGTAACCGCTGTCGTCCAACAGTCATCACAAATTCGCATAACGCGCTTGTTTCACTTGATCTATGATTACGTGGCATAAGGAGCAGCATAACTGACCTCGTTCTTTGACGGAGTTCAGAACTCTTGATTTGCTCTTGCACCGTGTATAGGTAAATCCGAGCGTCTAACTTTTCAAAGCGCGAATGACACTGACTGCATGCTCGTCCTGCTTTCGTAGAGTCCGATTCTCCAAGCCGTATTCAAGGCAGGAAGGACAACAGTGTCGAATAAGTGAGCGCGGAGCCGGATGCAGAGGAGTACCAAGTACCAATCCATTTATCATCGTTATCGCCTTAACATCGTCTTCGTTAGGCTCACGCGAACCTCTCCGAGCACTGTTAAATTGTAACAGCATTCGTTCCGCCTGCTCAGTGTTCGGTGTTATGAGTGCTGTGACTGCTGCAACGTATGGATGATATAGGTAGCGGCAGTCAAAGATTACTCTCAAATCTCCC